GCGCCGGCACCGGGTTTTCAAAACCCCCCCCCCCCCCCCAACACACACATCGTTTTCTCACCTTGTATTCACTCCACTGCTACTCTATTTGACTGTTGAAGATAAATTAATATATTGTACCTCTAATAATAGGGAAAAGGTAGTTCACTCCCTTTCCCCCAAAAATCAAGGACTGGGTGCCTAAATTGCAAATTGCCAAGCTGCGGCATTGTCACATGGGTTTAGGAGAAATTCTGTAGTTCTCTGGTTCTCCAACCATTGCAACTCAGAACTTTTCACTTTGCTCTGATAACTACAGGATGTGGCAGGGAACCAAATGATTTGGGAAGTATAATCAGCTGGGGATAAAAGCAGTGGACATTATGATAAACCTGTTGTTTACCTACATACATAATCTAAATTAAAATTGAGCAAAGCGCTTTAAAGCAGAAATTCATGTTAAACCTTTACTATCTGCAAAACATTCCTTTAAATTACCAGTTAAACCTGTGTTACTACCTTTTGTTACCCTCTTTCACAGTTAAATTTACATAACGTGGACCCTGCCCTTTTTTTCAAATTCTTTTGGTCGCAATAGAGCGATCTATCAAAGTTTGGATCACAGAACATGACGTTTAACTGATGTTCATGCAAACTCTACTGAACTCAGTTTACATGAAGCTTGGGAGAGAAGCAGTGTATGATGGGAAGTTTGTTTCTGTATTAGTCCTGGCCACAGGGTAAATCAAAGAAAACTTTCAGTAGTACCTGAGTATATGTCCCTGAGAAATATAGAAGAATGAGAAATACAAGAAATTAGGCATATAGCTAGAGAAATTGTATAAGCACATATGGTGCATCAATTGGTTTGGAGCTTCAAAGCTGAGCTAAAACATTAAGAAGGGGCTATGTTGTGCTGTAGATGAAAATAGTGTGCACATACTGTTATAGAGCAGTTGGCGTATAATGCTAGATGTATTTCACTGATTAGTTTAGTGAACTGTTAGTATTCTAAAAATGCAATCCAAAAATACAAACTTCACAGTGCTCCTGTTGGTTACTAAACATTACCTAATTTAAAATATGCTTCTAAAATTATAACAAAATCAGTTACAGAAATATCAGTTGCAAACATTTGCATGTGGAAGCTGCTTTCTACTTTTAACCACAGAAAACCTGAAGCCCATTGTATATGAATTCCTTTGGCATGGTTATGAATTCTGTAATATGTAGACTTAAATTGTGAACCTTCAGTTTATACAGTTGATCATGTGCAGGGGTATTTAGATGATGGAAACCTCCCTTGCACATGATAAGAAGTTTAAAGGAGTGTGTGTTGTAAAGTAGCCAGTGCTGCAAGCTCACTACCCTGTGATGGACTACAATCTCACGTTTAGTTTACTAAGTTGTACAGAGATTGTAGGCCATCACAGGAGCGAGCTTGGAGCTGTGGCTACTTTACAACATACACAGGGACAATGGGGAACAAAAGTATCCACCCTCCAGAAGAAATGACAGCGTCCACACACATTCAGAGATTAATTGAGGATTTACAGCCAAGTGAGACACAAATAAGGTACAATATTGTTAATAGTGAAAGTACTTGAATGCATTTTTAAGATTTAACTCCTCAATTTAGTGTCACTTTCAAAAGAGCCATATGCCAAGGGCCTTCAGTCTCAATATACAGCTCCATTCAGCCATTGCTGAAGAGAGTTTTGTCAGAGTAGATTCAAGTCAAGTAAGCAGCTGACAAAGGTAAGGAGTTAGTGCAGTTTAGCTTGAAGGGGGGTAGTAGGGTGGATTTAGCAAAATTTGATATAAAGGTACACCTTCTACCACCTCCTAAGAAACTAATTTAACTTAACTTTCCTCTATGAGAGAGAGAGAGAGAGAGAGAGAGAGAGAGAGAGAGAGAGAGAGATTTATTCAACAGCGTGAATAAGCTGCCTGCACTGGCAAAGAAAAGTAAAATGCTTTGGTCTACAGCTGTTTGTGCTCAGCAATATGGGATCACTGTTTAGGAGAAAGAAGGTGCATGCTAAAGGATTGCTTATATAGATAGCCTGACTTGAATTCCCATCTCACGCTATACCAAACAAACTGTATTTGGCATCATACTAAACATGCCTAAATGATGATGCCCTTTAGTACAAGTTCAGTCCCTTCTGTTATGTAGTTATATTAGAAAAAAATCTAGTACTACAATGAACTAATGGAAACAGCATGCTGTTAGCTTCACATGCACAACTACTTTTCAACTCTATTTCATGCTAAACAAGATAAAGGAGAATTGCTTTCATGTTTCTAGAACAATATAGGATCTTCTGACTGCTCTTAACCTCACATACACCTGTCCCTGTACAATTCGCTTGCTACATTTAGCCACTATTGTCCAGGGGTGGTAAAAATGACAACAAACACAGAAAACATTTTACAGTTTGAGGCTTGGCACTTTGAGGCTTGTCTACTTTGCTACCCTAGCCATTAGTTCCTTAAAATATGAATTTACTCCGTCACTAATATCTCTTACAAGCTTTAACATATTCGTGTAATTCAAAAGTAATTTTCAATATTTTACAATCTGAAGCCATCTTTATATTAATACCTGGTGACCCTGAATTTCAGGTCCTCGTTCAGACACGTTCTGTTATGCTGTGACAATGTTCTGTCCCTCTCTCCCAATTGAACTCCTGCGTCACCCTGTCACATGACTATAAGTGACTGTTTCAATATATGTTATGCAGGCATGGTCCACTTTTGTCAACATCAGGAATCCTATCCTGAGAAATGCCATGCAGCCATTGCTGGAGTGCAGGTAGACATAAAGTGAATGCACATAGGCTGCGGGAAATCAGACACACCAAGATGCAACATAAGATGAAAAAAAAGTGAAAACTAGAATTTTATTTTAAAAATGGTGATACAACGGGCTTTAGCAAAATAAATGTTATTGAGTTTACAAATATTTTAGGATAATTAAGCGCTGTCTATCAGGTAATCTTTGAAAGCAGCAAGCATCTGGGCATGAAAATAGAGAAATAAATAGGGCAAAAAGATTCTGTCATTCTATCCTGTCATAACATCAGCATTGTAATAGGAATACATAATATAGTTATTTTTTGATAATGCAATCAAAGCTTAGTTAAAAAAAATCCCCCTTATGTAATGAATTCTGAGTTCTGTCTGCCCATGACCTTTTATCAACTTTCTGGATTCCCAGTGTGCTATACATCTCTTTTCCCTCTGCTTGATGTGATGCAGTCTTGATTTCTCAAGACCACATATTCCAAAATGTATTTCTTCCAGCAAATAATGATGATGTTACATTGTCTGTATTTGTTGTGTTGACTGTGCGATCAGGGTAGAGAGCTGACTTATAGTTCAGACAGCAGGCTTTGTGAGAGTGGTGACAAGAATGTGCATATTCACAGTACTGAGTGAAATTGTGTCACCTCATTTACAAAGGTCTAGATATATATGATTACTAGGAGTGGGATAGAACTGGAAATGTAAAATATTCAATATAGAAATTCTTGTTTGTTTGTTTAGTTTTTGACCATAGATACGCTTTAAGCTTTAATAAAAGTTGTTTGTAGAAGTTGCAAACCATAGTGCTGACATGAAGGGGTGATTAAAGTGAGAACCACGCTCACAGATGTACCTTGAAAGTCGTACGGATTCCACAGACACGTAAATGTATATGCACAACTGAGAATCTAACTTATTTTACTTTTTTAGAACTCAGCTTTAGATTAAGTTTGGTATTGAAAACATCTAGAGCAGAGTGCTGGATGTTTTTGCATTTATAGTGAATTTCCCACCTGTGTACATTCTGCTGGTTATCAATTGTTTTACTGTCATCTCCCTCTTTTTATTTGTATTCTGCAAATATGCAAAATGATTTAAAGTTTTGCTTAGCAAAAACTTATTTGGTTTGATTTACTAAAGGAGCAGACTGTTCATTTTTCTTTTTAATTGTATTCTTTGGGGGCATGATTGGGTATTTGCAGCTTTACTTTATTTACTAAGCGTTATAAACATTTCTTTTGGTAAATGAACACATCCATAAAACACACTCACATTGCCATATCAGAGTGTTTCCCATTGTACTATAACAGGATTTTCCGATTTAAAACATCATGTTTTTTGTGTACAAGCCATAAAGAGATTCTGGAATTCTTCCCACATAGTTATTTCACTACTGTATGTTGCTTTGATCTCTGGAGAGATCTTTCTCCCGCTGCGTCTACATCACTAATACATAAGTTTGTGCTTTGACTTTACTTGCAACTCCGATATGATCTTTGCCATGAAGTGTGTAACAGCAAGTAGTTAGAGAAAATAAAATGCATGACTTGGCTATCCACTTCAAAACATATATTGTTTCTAATATTTTTTCCTTTTTTTTCAGATAACACAGCTACAATTCTGACATTGCGAAATGGATACAGTTTACAAGAAACTCCTATATTTTATTTACCAGTTATAATAAGTGATAATGGGATTCCGTCGCTTAGCAGTACCAGCACACTAACAATTCAAGTGTGCAACTGTGGAACTAACAATGACAAAGGGTTTTGCAGAAGAAGAGGCTTATTCTGGATCTTTTTAAATTCTGGAGCATTTATTGCAATCTCGGTTTTTTCGATTATACTTTTAGGTAAGTAGTAGCACTCTAACTCAGACGTTATACTGTGCATTTGTTTCCCACATACACCATCTGATATAAATTTGATTGTGTTATGAGAAACTGTGAGGCAGACTTATGTAAAGCAGGTGAGTAAAGGCAAATATACACTGAGTGGCCAGATTATTATGACCACCTGACGTTTGTAGGCAAATTAGCTATAATTAGCTATAATTTTGCGCTGAAGTTGCCAGAGGGCCAGACCATTATACATAGGGAAGCAGGTTGTTTACCATGACAGTAGAAGTCATTTTTTTTCTGAAGATATGGGTAAACAACGCGATATAACAGCCTTTGAACGTGGGATGATTGTTGGCGCTCGTAACCATGGAGCGAGTATCAGCAAAACAGCAGAATACGTTAATTGTTCAAGAGCAGCTATTGTTAAAGTGTTTAAAGACTGGACTGTCAGCCGAAAATCTGGGTCTGAACATGCGAATTGTGGCCGTCAGCGACTAGTCAATGTTAGGGCAGAACGGAGAGTGGCAAGACTGGTTCAAGACAACAGAAGGGCAACAGTGCAGTGGCAGATTCCTCACATCTCCTTTCAACATCTTGCGGAGTCACGAGGCGGCCCAACAAAGTCATCTCATGGAGTCATCTCGTGGCCCAACGAAGTACTGATGGGGTGGTCATAATAATCTGGCCACTCAGTGTACACCTTGCTAGAATGTGCATTTGTTATAATGAATAGAATAAATGTATTGTGAACAAATGCGCCCCAAAAATGTGTCCTTGGTGGACCCCAAAAGATTGTCTTGAAAATGTAACTGTGAGTACAAATTTAAAAAAAGCATGGAAAAAAACCAGAACTCAGTTTTGTAGCTATAGCTGAAAGAGCTTTCCATGGTGCTGAACTTGTGTTTTTAAAATGTACATAAACCCTGAATAAACGGAACTTCTCTTATTTGCTACCTTTGAGTCTGCTAAAAATACCACTGACATGATGTTGTTATTTCTGCTTGATATGTGCAAAAAATACCTGTTAGTCATATCAGAAATTCAGAGTCCTGTGTTCTATGCACTATTCCTGTGTTATCTAAAGGTTTCCAGGTGTCATAGTTATTAGTTGTGACAAATAGGATAGTGAGTGGAATTGAGTAGATTAGCAAAGAAAACTGGGTAGGGCTTTCTGTCTTAGCTGTCTGCCCACAGCAGGGCTCATGAGCTAAGTGCTTTCCTAGCAGATCATCAGATATAATTAAGTTAGGCAATTCCCTGTATTCATCATGCATGGGAAGCCTAAAGGCAGAAGTTCTGCATGCACAGCTGCTTGGGGGAGGGAAGGTTCTACATCAGCAGGACAAAACAGTGGTTTGAGAGGCAGGGGACATTTGCCTTTTTCTTTCTGACAGTGAGGGGAAGCTTGCACAGAAATTCAGGGAGCAGCTGTCCTATTCCATCAAATGGCAATGTCCATATGTCCATGTCCCCATAGTTCAGAAGTCTGGGTCTTTTTTAACACATGTGCTGTTAAAATCACTGTATTGTTTTGCAGCCTCTTCCTGCAGCGTAGTAAAAGTAACAGGTGGTGTGTACCACATGCATGAGGTAACACATGATTGTTTATCACAAAACACAGTGAGAGCTGCACATGAATGATATCAGTTGGCAGAAAAAGGCCTGCACCCCTCCTAGCTTCTTCCCTTCAAACTCTCGCCATACGCAATAAGAAACTTGCTTCCACTGCAACATCTGTGGCTTCAATAAATAGGGACAGCAGTCTGATAAGGAGCTTAAGATGCTTACCTAATGACACGTCTAGAAGGGGAGGGGATTAGAATTGGGACATGCAAAGTAGAGCTAGGCATAGTATTGAACCTCACCGTATGTCTCTTAACCCCACCCTGCCACCCTCATTATCATCCTTAACCACATGGTTGTCTCTTCCCCAGCTGCTGGCATAGAAGAAATATTAACCTGATCACCCCTATGTGCCCAGCAGCTCAATGCCTGCTTGGCAAATTTGCTAGATTTACAGCTGCTCCTATTCCAGCTGGTCTCCTCTTTCATGACTTTGTGGCCTGTGCTGTACTACAGTGGTGGGTACCTAGCTGCCATTTCTCTTCACCCAGAAAGACATTCTTTCCATCCATTAACATGAGGAAGGTAATACCTCTGTGTTGCTGGATCATGCAGTAAGCAGCAGGGTCTACATGACCACAGATATGTGGTGCAGCAAAGAATGGACAGGTACATTCAATTTATTTTATGACACACTGGGTAAATTTGCTGGTGGCTAGGAAAGATGGAGGATGAGGCACACTGCTGGAGTTCGTGGTGCTGCCCCGTTGTCACAGGGGCCACGTACCTGAGGTGAGACCGAAGTAGTGGGGAGGCGTCCCTTGCACCTCGGGTCCTTGAAGTCTCTGGAGATGGAGACAGAGATTTGGTGGACACCGAGTGGCACGGGTGCCAGGGGTGCAGAGCACCGTGCAAGCCTTAGTCCGAGATCCGAGCCGAGGTTAAGTCCACTCTGGCAACGAAGTACACAAGGGTTAATCAGAAGAATGGTCGAGATCCAAGCCGGGGTCGGTTCCAATCTGGCAGCTGAGTACAAAAGGGGCAAAGAAGTAGAATGGTCAAGGTACAAATCCGAGGTCAATGGCAGGCAGCAATCAAGAGTAGTCAAATAGGTTTCCAGGTCACAACAAGTTCAGACAGATCACACACAATAACAGCCTTTGAACGTGGGATGATTGTTGGCGCTCGTAACCATGGAGCGAGTATCAGCAAAACAGCAGAATACGTTAATTGTTCAAGAGCAGCTATTGTTAAAGTGTTTAAAGACTGGACTGTCAGCCGAAAATCTGGGTCTGAACATGCGAATTGTGGCCGTCAGCGACTAGTCAATGTTAGGGCAGAACGGAGAGTGGCAAGACTGGTACAAGACAACAGAAGGGCAACAGTGCAGTGGCAGATTCCTCACATCTCCTTTCAACATCTTGCGGAGTCACGAGGCGGCCCAACAAAGTCATCTCATGGAGTCATCTCGTGGCCCAACGAAGTACTGATGGGGTGGTCATAATAATCTGGCCACTCAGTGTACACCTTGCTAGAATGTGCATTTGTTATAATGAATAGAATAAATGTATTGTGAACAAATGCGCCCCAAAAATGTGTCCTTGGTGGACCCCAAAAGATTGTCTTGAAAATGTAACTGTGAGTACAAATTTAAAAAAAGCATGGAAAAAAACCAGAACTCAGTTTTGTAGCTATAGCTGAAAGAGCTTTCCATGGTGCTGAACTTGTGTTTTTAAAATGTACATAAACCCTGAATAAACGGAACTTCTCTTATTTGCTACCTTTGAGTCTGCTAAAAATACCACTGACATGATGTTGTTATTTCTGCTTGATATGTGCAAAAAATACCTGTTAGTCATATCAGAAATTCAGAGTCCTGTGTTCTATGCACTATTCCTGTGTTATCTAAAGGTTTCCAGGTGTCATAGTTATTAGTTGTGACAAATAGGATAGTGAGTGGAATTGAGTAGATTAGCAAAGAAAACTGGGTAGGGCTTTCTGTCTTAGCTGTCTGCCCACAGCAGGGCTCATGAGCTAAGTGCTTTCCTAGCAGATCATCAGATATAATTAAGTTAGGCAATTCCCTGTATTCATCATGCATGGGAAGCCTAAAGGCAGAAGTTCTGCATGCACAGCTGCTTGGGGGAGGGAAGGTTCTACATCAGCAGGACAAAACAGTGGTTTGAGAGGCAGGGGACATTTGCCTTTTTCTTTCTGACAGTGAGGGGAAGCTTGCACAGAAATTCAGGGAGCAGCTGTCCTATTCCATCAAATGGCAATGTCCATATGTCCATGTCCCCATAGTTCAGAAGTCTGGGTCTTTTTTAACACATGTGCTGTTAAAATCACTGTATTGTTTTGCAGCCTCTTCCTGCAGCGTAGTAAAAGTAACAGGTGGTGTGTACCACATGCATGAGGTAACACATGATTGTTTATCACAAAACACAGTGAGAGCTGCACATGAATGATATCAGTTGGCAGAAAAAGGCCTGCACCCCTCCTAGCTTCTTCCCTTCAAACTCTCGCCATACGCAATAAGAAACTTGCTTCCACTGCAACATCTGTGGCTTCAATAAATAGGGACAGCAGTCTGATAAGGAGCTTAAGATGCTTACCTAATGACACGTCTAGAAGGGGAGGGGATTAGAATTGGGACATGCAAAGTAGAGCTAGGCATAGTATTGAACCTCACCGTATGTCTCTTAACCCCACCCTGCCACCCTCATTATCATCCTTAACCACATGGTTGTCTCTTCCCCAGCTGCTGGCATAGAAGAAATATTAACCTGATCACCCCTATGTGCCCAGCAGCTCAATGCCTGCTTGGCAAATTTGCTAGATTTACAGCTGCTCCTATTCCAGCTGGTCTCCTCTTTCATGACTTTGTGGCCTGTGCTGTACTACAGTGGTGGGTACCTAGCTGCCATTTCTCTTCACCCAGAAAGACATTCTTTCCATCCATTAACATGAGGAAGGTAATACCTCTGTGTTGCTGGATCATGCAGTAAGCAGCAGGGTCTACATGACCACAGATATGTGGTGCAGCAAAGAATGGACAGGTACATTCAATTTATTTTATGACACACTGGGTAAATTTGCTGGTGGCTAGGAAAGATGGAGGATGAGGCACACTGCTGGAGTTCGTGGTGCTGCCCCGTTGTCACAGGGGCCACGTACCTGAGGTGAGACCGAAGTAGTGGGGAGGCGTCCCTTGCACCTCGGGTCCTTGAAGTCTCTGGAGATGGAGACAGAGATTTGGTGGACACCGAGTGGCACGGGTGCCAGGGGTGCAGAGCACCGTGCAAGCCTTAGTCCGAGATCCGAGCCGAGGTTAAGTCCACTCTGGCAACGAAGTACACAAGGGTTAATCAGAAGAATGGTCGAGATCCAAGCCGGGGTCGGTTCCAATCTGGCAGCTGAGTACAAAAGGGGCAAAGAAGTAGAATGGTCAAGGTACAAATCCGAGGTCAATGGCAGGCAGCAATCAAGAGTAGTCAAATAGGTTTCCAGGTCACAACAAGTTCAGACAGATCACACATTAGCACAGGAACAAGGGGGGGCTGAAGATAATCCAGCAATTTGGCAGTGTCTGGGCTGGGCTTATATAGGGAAGTGATGATTGAAGTTTGAGGTCACTTCCTGTGCGCCTCCTGGGCATTTTCCCACCTTTTTCCATCAGGTTGAGGTCACTTCCTGTGCACCTCCTGGGCATTTTCCTGCCTTTTTCCATCTGGTTGAGGTCACTTCCTGTGTGCCTACTGGGCATTTTCCTGCCTTTTTCCATCAGGTCTTCTGCGTGGGTTGGCGCACTGATGTGTCTTTGGCGCATGCGCAGTTGGCGCGGATTTCCTCTTGTGGCAATGTGCCATTGGCGCATGCGTAGTAAGCCCTGGACTCTTACACCTGTGCCCTGCACCTTAGTGATGGTGAAAGCTTTACCCCTTCCTCCTCAATGGTCTCATTTGGTGACTCATCAGTAGACATGTGCACTGCCAAAAAATTTGTTTCGTTTTAAATTCGGATTTGTGTTATTTCGATTTTCAGGATTCGGGTGTGAAAGTCAATTCGGATTCGGAATTCGGATGAAATTCGGTAGCGTTAGTACGAACGTTCGTTTCGTTTTCTGTTCTTATTCGTTTCTTATTCGTTTCGTTCGTTTGCAGCAAAAGTGACATTTGAGGGGGAAAAAATATTTTTCTCCTCTAATGTCACTTTGCTCCAACGAACGAAACGAATAAGAAACGAATAAGAACAGAAAACGAAACGAACGTTCGTGCGAACGCTACCAAATTTCGGAAATGGAATATTCGGATTCGTTTGCATTCGTTATGTCTGTAATTCGGAATTCTGATACATCCGGATGTCCGAATTTACGAAAATTCGTCCGAATTTCGATTCGGAACGAAACGAATCGCACATGTCTACTCATCATTCCTAAAAGTCTCCCCCAAGCAAACAAGAGTCTACACTACGGCTCAGACAAAGTGCTGTCATTTTGATTTACAGCTGCCATACTGAACCAGAAATTCTGGCAGCTCTTCATGGGCAGACAGAGAGGTGGCTGATCCCATGTCATCTTGTGTCAGGAAAGGTCATATGTGACCTTCTGCAGGTGAAGCTCACACATGTGCTTTGCCTAGCCCATTTGCCTAACTTGGTTGTGTAGCAGTTCCCAATTAGGTACCCTTGTTTCTATGATGTTCTGTGGCAGGGCAGAAGAGTGTGGCCACTTCAGGAGGTCATACCCATGTGGTGTTTGCCTGGCCAATCTTTAGCTGCAAAACAAGTCTCCTGACAACCAGCTTATCTGTGATACACCGTTGTTTTGGAACTTGGCATTACCCATGCTGCAGCAGCTGTACCTGCAGCAGTGGGCCATCAATGAGTATTTATGTGAACAAGTGTGGGTACAGTGTTTGCCTGACCAAAATGTAGTGATAACACAAGCGGCCTGCCGATCTCCTAATATGCGATACACCCACATGCTGGAACTCAACATTGGCCATGCTGCAGAAGTTGCACTTGCAGCACCAGCATGTGTGCAAGAATTGGATGAGGACAGGCTCTAGCTCATTTCACCATATCAGTGACTCTTGATTTAGGATAGATCAAACAAATGCACTGCGCTAATCAATAATCTTAATACGTGAATCTATCTATTTATATTATTAGCACGGCAGCTTTTCACCTTTTATATTTATCACTTTGAGACAGCTTCCATAGCACAGATTTTTTTAATATTCATCTTGATTTAGGATGCCTGTACTAGCTTATCACCATTTCAAAGGTGACAAGAAAGGTGATCCATGTTAAGGCAAGGATCAGCGACAAGATCCCTCTGGTGTTCCTGATGAAGCACACATTGCTTGGTTTAATATACCAGGCATTGGAGACAGAGCAGCAAGAGATAGACTTCCTGGTACTTCAGCACCTGCAGAATCCTTCCACGACTGACTACATTACTGGGAGGCAGACACAGTCAGAGGTGGAACGTAAGGAGGAGGTTTTGAATGTCAGTGTTAAGGAAGAAGAGGACAAGGGGCAGGCGTCCAGGGGTATGATTCACCCTTACCAAGCCCTGGGGAGTTGTACATATGTAAGGTTAAATTGTTGAGGACACCTTTGCCCTGGGGGACACTGAGAAATTGGGGACACCTGATGCAAGACATTTTTAATTAATTGGTTAATTCTTGTTAAAGTGCCTGCCTACAGGATACAGGCCATGAAAGAGAGGAACATTACTGATTTGCTATCCTTTTGGCCAATGTGTCTCAGACCTTTTGGCCAACCTGCCATACAGTAGATCATCAAGTTGCTTAAAGGAAGGGAAGTGGTGGTGGCTGCCACAGCAATGCTTTACAGTCCCAGTTAGAGCTTAAACCATATGATTTCCAATTACCAGGGATACAGGGCAGATGTGGACAACATTTGACTTGAGGACCCCATGGTCTATTGAGTGTCCAGGCTGGACCACTAGCATAAGATTGCCTACCCCTGAAGTTGATGCTAAAAAAATGTTTCTTTGAATCTGGACCCAAAAATATTATTGTACCTTATAGCATTAACATCTGCCACCACTGCTGGTCTACCACTATTACCATTGCCTACCACCATTACCAGCTCCTGCTTCATATTCTGGCCTAACACCATAACTACTGTATCTCTTGCCTTCACTGCTGGCCTGCCACCATTGCCATGTCTTTCCATCATTACCACTTCTTTATATCATACCTGAAGTGAGCTGCCACCATTAACATTGCGTGCTTCTTTTACTGCCCTATTTCAATGTTTTAAATACTTCCAAAACAATATAATTCAAACTTGATCTTTATCATCTTGTGTATTTCAATAGGACTGGCTGTAATTGTTCACATAAAGTGCCAGAAAAGTCCTGCACATTTTACTGAGAAAGGAGAAGACTTAAAGGAAAATATTGTCAAGTACGATGATGAAGGTGGGGGAGAAGAAGATACTGAAGCATTTGACATTACAGGGCTCAGACATAAAACAGTGATGAGAAAACATAAAAGGAAACGGATTATAAGAAATGACATTCAAAGTATGTATAGGTTGTCATTGGGTCTTGGGCCTGATGTCACTATTTTCAGAGAATTCCTTTCAGAGAAGTTGGAAGAAGCAGACACAGACCCATGTAGTTTGCCACCTGATTCCCTCCATAAGTACACTTACGAAGGAACAGGCTCAACAACAGGATCGCTTAGCAGCTTGGACCTGAGTACAGTGGATATTGATCCTTGTTTAGAAAATTATCAGGGCTGGACTCATGAATAAGGATTACATGGGATAATAAGACCTTTGCAGTACAGAAATCAATATGTCTCCTGAAATTATTGTTCAGCCTTATTGTTAAAGGGTCGGGTCACCATTACCTGGATTTTTTTTGGCTGATACCAACAAGTTGAGTCACCCAGGTGCTTCTTATACCTCTACCAAATTTTAAAGTTCCACCCACATTTATTAGCCATTACAAGGGGGGATCCACTCTAACTGTTCAATTCCCCTTTTTTTAAAAACATAGGTAATGGAACAATAATTATAACTAACCTTTAAAAGCAGGATTAAAAAAATGAGACATGTTTAGTAAAATGTCTTTAGGCATAGAACCAATAGGTTTGCATTTAAACAGCCAATGAATGCATCTTTTAATGATGGGTAATTTAAACTTTGCTTTATGCTTAAAGGGATTGTTATAATTTATATGAACAGGATGTGTTATTTCATAATTTTATAATGGAAAGCTACTTAACTTTGAATACCAAAGGTTTATAAAGCATCATAATTACAAAGTGTTTCTTCTTTCTGAAACAAAAAAGGGGAACATATAAACTAGAAAAAATATTTAGCAGTTTGGAAGTGTAATTTAATCAGAGTGTAAGAGAAAACAGCTTATTCACTAACGTTCACTTTGATAGGTGAAAAGCCTCTATTCCTTTAGCAAATCAACACCATTGGGCAACTTTGTCACTGGAAAAGAAAGCAAGTAAAAATCTTTCTATGAGATAAATAACAGCAAATTCAATGTTAATTTTAGGCAGGTTAGAACCTCTGTCAGCGTAGTTTTTCTATTTGTTTATCCCAGGAATATTTATTTAAATACTATTTAAATAATTGATTTTGTTATCAAAGTGTATTACATAACAGCAACAAGATGTTTATGTGATCTTATAAATATATATGTCTCAAATAATAGTGAAACCATCCCTTGAAATGGGGCATTTGAAATATATACACTATAAACAGTGATTTAACATTGTAGTATTATCAACAAGCCTGGAATAGCCAAAGAAATCTTCAACCACACATGATTTACACTTTTGTCTTGATTTTATATGTTATAACCACATTATCAACACACAGTACCATAGAGTCATAAAGAGAGGACATTAAACAGCTTAAATTAAACCACAATTGTGCTTTCAAATTGTGCTGAAATAAAAAAAATCTGAGTTCTTGTAAAATGTGCTCTTATGTGTTAATGAAACTTTTCTTTTGTTATTATTCTTATAATAGTCACCAGATCTATTGAATTTATATTGATAACATTTTGAATATTTAGATAATTGCTCAGTTCAATTGTACAAAGGCAGAATAGTTTGATAATAAAAATGAATATTAAAATTGTTTTTATAATTATTTTTTAAACAGCAAAGTTATTTTATATTAAGTTGCTTGGATAATTAGGCAAAATGCTCTAAAATATTTGCAACTGGGCTATGGTATTATGAGTATAACATCAATGAACTTGAGAGGCACTTTATATAATGAGAGAATTCTTGCATATCTAAGTGGGTTTTTTTTGATGATGAGACCTTGCCATAGGTAGGTTTAGGACCTTAACCACTTGAAGATCAGGGTGTTAAACCTACTTCCTCTCCAGGCCATTTTTCTGTATTCAGCGCTGCTGTATTTTGATTGACATCTATTCAGTCATGCAACACTGTACCAAAATGCATTTTATATATTTTTTGGGGGGACAGATAGAACCTTCTTTTGGTGGTATTTAATCACCACTGGGCTTTTTATTTTGTACTATGTAAAGAAAAAAAGTACCAAAAATGTTGAAGCAATGCTTTACAAGCTTTTACTGCTCATCAGTTTAGTGTTATCAGTGATTGATGGCCGAATAATTTATTTTTGATGGCCCTTTTATTTTTAAGCTTACTTTTTTTTTTTTACACTTAACTTCATTGCTATCACATAGGGGCTAATAATCACACAGACACAGTGACAGGTTCTCTTTATGGAGTCATCAAGGGTCTGTTAGACCTCTAATGTCAACTAGGGACCCCAAAGAAGCTGATGAAGCAGCGATCTACTGCATCAGCTTCTACTGTGGCTACAGCAACTGGAGAAATGCCATTCTGAAAGCAAAGTGATGTAACTCACATCACTTCCACATTTAGTGATCGGAGGGGAGATCAGCCGGTGGAATGTTGTGGAATCTCCCCTTTGATCCAGCCACATAGATCCACTGTGCCAGTCCTGGGCCCTCACAGAGGACAGCAGAGCCCAGGATAACCAGCAGCAGAGAGAGATGTGCACACTTCCTGCACCCTTCCCTTACCTTTCCTGCACTACACAAGCAATCGGACAGCTCTATAGCTTGCCCAAATGCTTGTATGTATCCAAGGCTATAATTTGTCAAACTCTTGTGATCAGGAGTGGGAAAGGATTTTATAAACTCCCACTCGCCCTTATGTGGCAGCAGTTACAATCATCATTCTGAGCCTGATGAAGCGGAGACAGCGAGGCCCTGAAAGCGCTTGTATTTGGATGACAATTTTGTGTCATTAAATTGATTAATTTCACACTATATTTGTGTGCTTGTGATGTTCTTGAATTTGATGTTAATTCACTGTGCCATCTGTGGTCATTGCAAGCACCCACCTGGATTATACAGGTTAAACTTTGAAGCAGAAAGGAATGCAGCAAGACACATCTTATGTAGCAGTTACAATTGGCCTCATAGCAGATGGAGGTTGGACTGAGTCATCTGCTGCCTTTTTGTATCTCTTTGGGACTCCAACAGTGAGATCCCTTATCACAGTTTCTGTCTCAATTTCTGCACACCAAGGTGGTTAGCATATTTGTATTCTTCTTGTTACAGTCTGCATTATATAAAATCAACAGGAATTTCATGAAGAATAGTGAAACCCTCTTGTAATGGCCTTGGGTACAATTACAGAGATCTCCCCAAGAGATATAAAAAACTGTTAGGTGGTTTACCTTTTTGACATCTACTAAATAATTAAATATGTGCTTTGGATGGACTGACCATTTTATTTGCAATTCAGACATAATAGACAACATTAAGCAATTGCAAACCCATTTCATATAAACCATTGATTAATCATTTTGAAAAAGGCATAAAACACTTATAATATATTTATTTTACAGTAGTAAGTGCTTTAAATTTTATACGATCATAGAATTTAATTGTAGAAGATATTCAAATGAGAGAGAATATCAGTGTACAAAGTACAAAGAAGCAAGTGTACTGATAACAGTCAGAATGCAAGTCTGTGTCTGGTATAAGACAGTCCTTTCATATACATTTGTATGCAGACCTTAGAAATCACCACACAAAATACAAAATGCATATCACACAAAATACTTGTGTTGTTTCTAGGCATTTCCTAAACTGAAAAGCACAGATGTATTTGGCATAAAAAGTACCTTTATCAAAAGTCTTATCAATAAGTTGACAATAACTCACTCATGTCATGGTGGCAAATGGGACTTGTAGTATTTTCACTCACATGTCATGTGAATGGATCTGTGAATGATTGATGCGTCTTTGAAGAAAGAAGGAGCCATGCACAGCCGCACTAAGTTTAAGTGCAAACCGAAGACAGCAGGGAGAAGATTCAGGCAAGTGGAGGATGTGACCATGTTTCACCCCATATATGGGTGTAACATGAAAAATAGTCTGGACATGTGCACCATAGAATTCAGTAAACCATGTATATGTGATTCAATGCATTATTTTTTAAGTGTTTCACATATATGTGAACATAAATGCCACTGCACAATAAAAAAATATACAGTTCTGCATTTTTATGCAATGCACTGCTGTGCTAAAGTGGCTGTATGTGAACAAGGCTTGAATTTGTGCAATAAATTAAATGTTGTATATACATTAAAAGGCTAAAATTATATATCCTGTCAACAAACAGTAAAATGCTACTTGTGCAATGAATTAATTTCTGTAAAGAACTGAAATGCATTCTTTATAGTATTCACTTGGATCTTTACTCTGTAAATTGATTTGCTCTTTGATGGAGCTTTATATGAAACAAGATTTTAAAATTCTGGGTGATTTATTTAAAAATGAGCCAGTCATAGATTTCAAAACAGATACATGTAAGGTATTATTAAACCCCAATGAAGAAACACATTCAATATTTTTTTTCTCAGCATTTACAAAACCCTGTTTATTGCAAATAAGATAGATAAAAAAATCGATGACATCTAATTATGATGTCATACATTTTAGACATAACTTTGCTGAATGTTTACCTATAAAATAAAATATCTCACCCATTCTAAAAGTTATCCCAGCTGTGTTTCATTTACTTTGGTAATAATTAGATATATCCTGAAGTACATTGCATATAATATCTCGTAAAAACTTTTTTTTTTAAGCATATAGATCGTTATTAGGTTTTCCATAACCAATAATGGTACAATATACAAAGAAAAAATAGCATCCGCATACATGGTATATTGCATTAAGGAGATGTCATCTATAATTGTTACAAAGACCATTGACAGTACACAACTGAGGATGACCGTAGCTCCTGCAGTCAAGCATGGAAAAAAACATATCATAAAATGCAGTAATAATTCCTGAAGGAAATATGAATCAAAATGAGACAGAAGAGGAGTGAAAGTTGAGGAAAAGAAAAAAAGGTAGGTGCAGGGGGGAGTATGAAAGGATAAAGGAAAAAGAAGAAAAGAGAGGGTGTGATCATGAGTATAATCCCATGGGCATGTGGATGGCCGTATTCTATGAGATTCGAAGGGGACAGAAAAGAATCGACGAAGGACATGCTGTGGAATGTCAAAGGTTGGCTGTAATCAGATATTGCAAGGTCGCACCCCTAGAGCGGTCAATCACGGCTGAGGGTGCACTGTATGTTTGCAGCGTTAACTGCAGATGAGATGTCAGGTCTCATAAGACATCAAGAGGTCCGAGGGAACCATCTAACTTGGCCATGAGATACCAGTGGGTGTGCTGGAAAGTAGACATGATATCCTTAAGTTGATCT